CCTTGATAGAGTCCAATTGAGACTTGATTGAACACTTGAATTAGTCTCATCATCTTGCACTCAACCAAGACTTGAATGACCATCTAGATTAATTTCACCTAGAGGTGTAAACGAGCCGAGCTTAGTTCAAGCTCGGGTTGGCTCGAACTCAAGCTCGATAAATAATAGGTAGGTTCGAACTCAAAAAAATTAAAGCTAGAGTTCGACTCGCTTATGAAACGAGCCGGCTCGAGCTCAAAATTGACTAAACCTGAGTTGAGCTTTGACCTACAAGCCGCTCGGCTATAATTGTGTGTGTGTGTGTGTGTATATATATATATATATATATATATATATATCTTGCGAGCGGCTCGACGAACCATGAGTCTATAACATTTGAACTCGAACTCGGCTCAATTACAAAACGAGTCGATTCGAACTCGATCCGAGTTTTGACCGAGCGACTCGCAAGCCGCTCAACTCATTTACATCTCTAGTTTCACCTCACATCCAACTAAAACTCAATTGAATGTCTTAATTAGTCTCATCTTGCACCACACCCTCAAAAAAAAACCTTAATTGACCGCTTGAATTAATCTCCCCTTGCAAATATATACTAAACAAAACTATTCCAAATGAGATGAATAAGTATCACAAACCACCCTTCACATTCATTGACTACTCATACTCATAATTAATCAACTAATTATGAATTAATTATTTTTTATTTTTTGAATATTACTGGTTCTATTACAATGCAGTATCTAGCCAATATCGCTTCCACTGAATCTCAATCTCACAACCTCCCATTTAAGAGAGTTAACTTGGTGCTATTGGACTACGGGTTTATAAAACCTAGTTAATCAACTAAATAAATTATAAAAAGGCAAACAATAACAAAAGATAAAGGAATATAGGTAGGGTTGGGACATTGGATGAAGTTAAACAAAAGCAAAAAGACAATTAAAGGTTTCCAAACTCACATATGTATAGAAAATGTATAATTAACTTGATTTTAATCACATTATTAAAAGTATGAAATTCTCACAATTCCAGTTATGAACAGAGTGAAATCAAATTAGTTCAAGGGTCATCTGGATAAGGATTCCACAAGAAAACCGACAAAAGCAGAAGATTAGGAACGAGGATTGGGATGAGAGGATGAACGTTACTCACAAGCGGTTTTCTCCGCAGGCGTCGCCGCACGTAGAGTCTCTTCTCTTCGTCGCCCCACTCGGCTTCCGGCACGCCCTTGGCGAGGACCACCGCCGGCGGCTGATGGTACGGGCATTTGGACCTCCAGGAAGTCTCCGGCAGGCCGAATCTGGACAGGCGTTTCAGGAAGAGAGAGATCGCCCATTTGTGGAGGAGGGGTTTGGGGCAGAGGAGCGGTGGATAGTGCCAGTTGAGGTAGCAGGGGATTTGGGTGGAGATTAAGAACTGTGAGTGGAGTGGGGGTGTGGGTTCAGGGTTTGTTAGGATGTGGGTTAGGGCATGGAGTCTTTGCTGCCATGTTGCCTCTTCCATGTTTGTTGTTTTGTCGCTGAGAGAACAGAAAGAGAGTGGTAAACAAAGCTCCTCAAAGTTATTTGAGAAACTAAATCTAATCGAGACTCAGTTAAATTAGTCTTATCTGGCAATAAACTTGGACTATGTATGAAATTAGGTTCAAATTCATGTATATAACATTCTTGATAGAGTTGTTTCGAAGAGAATCTTGATCTGAGACTCGATTGAATTAGTCTTATCTTGACACTCGATCTACCTAGATTAAGAACAAGGTTGGGTTCGAATTCATGTATAGATAATAGTAACACTCTTAAGAGAGCTACTTCGAACAAAATATTGATCGAGACTTAATTTGATTAATCGTATCTGACACTCTACTAGGATTAAGAACAAAGTTGGGTTCAAATTCATGTATACGTAATAATAACATTATTGAGAGTGTTGTTTCAAACAGAATTTTGATCGAGACTCAATTGAATTAGTCTTATCTAACACTCAATCTATCTAGATTAAGAACAAAGTTGACTTCAAATTCATCTAACACTCTTGAGAGAGCTATCTCGAACAAAATATTGATCGAAACTCAATTTGATTAGTCTTATCTAACACTCTACCTGGATTAAGAACAAAATTGGGTTCGAATTCATGCATACATAGTAACATTATGGGTTCAAAGAAAAAGCCCCCAAATCCTTGAAAGAACCATTTAAGAAAAGATCAAACCCTTTGCAACAATATGTGAAGTTGAGGTTGCAGAACATGTGCATATCCAACTAACTACATATACACCTAAACCTATGAACTAAAATGCTAATCATTCTTCTATGAAACAGATTTGATGAAGTACTGCCACATATAACTACTCTATAGATCCAACAATAGTGCCATTTTGCAGCTTACTAACTTCCCTTATTCTACTGGCTCAGCTTCTTCAAGACTCAACAATGGGGGAATCCCATGAAAAATTCTTCTACTAGCTCAGCACAACTTCTTCAACACTGAACCCGGTAGCATCCCATAAAGGGTAACCCACCTGCTTCCCCGATGAAACGATATGCTGAGGGGTCTGGTGTGCAGCTGAATTGGGGCAAACGAATCCACCCAATCCATGCCAAGAACCAAATCGCACATACACCCGTTCAACTCCAATAGCATCACGTCTTTCTCGAACGTTTCTTCTTGGACAGTCCATTTGAAGTTAGGGCAGATTTGACGACATTTCAACTCAGCTCCACTAGCCACTGCCACTTGAAATGGGGAAGTCGGGGCGCATTGGAGTCCCATATCCAGCGCGAATTTAGGCCTCAGAAAGCTGTGTGTGCTCCCGGTGTCTATTAGAATAAGTAAGGGTTTGTGGTTTACCTTTCCCAGCAATTTCAGGGTATTAATGCCTATACCCTCAAGCTTTTCATCCAAAGATGATTCTTCCCTGGTTTCAGAGTATTTGTCGCCCTCTTCTCCTTCGATTTCAGAGTGTTTGTCGCTCTCTTCTTCCACAGATGTTCTTGGCAGGCTAAATATTCTGCAGATATCATCAGAGAATTCATCCCAAGAAACCCAGTCATCATGATCACACATATACCCTATAAACCAATCTAAAATCTTGTCATCCATATTTAATGTCACGTAATCCATCTTTAAATTTTCCGGGATCTTGTGCATCTGGAAGTACTCGTTGCAGCTCCTAACCCAGTCACTTGGGTTACCTTCATCAAAATCAGGAAATTCCTCTTCAGAATTGCAGATTATAGGATCATTCACAGCAGGAATTACCTCATTTCTTCGGGCGATGGAACTCTGATTATCTTGCTCCAACTCAATTGCAGAACTCTGATTATCTTGTATCAACTGAATTGCAGAATGTTGAGAATTCTGATTATCTTGTTCCAACTGAATTGCAGATTGTTGAGAATTCTGATTATCTTGTTCCAACTGAATTGCAGAATGTTGAGAACTCTGATTATCTTGTTCCAATTCAATTGCAGATTGTTGCTGATTTTCCATGTGGGATCTGGGTGAAGCAGTCATCTCCTCCTTCTTTTTCTTGAGCAGAGAGCCCATCTTGCAGCCCATTGAATGAAGGAGGAAGACCCAGAAGGACTGCAGAGATCAGAGGAGAGAGTTGAATTGGGCGGGAAGATCAGAGAATATTTAATTATTTCTTTATGTCTCTAAACTGCCCAACCGACTTGGGGGCATTCTTGTAATTAGATGGAAATTGTTCCAACTGCCATAACTGCTCTTCAGATTCAACGCCGCGCTTTCGCCGCGTACCGATTGACTTCCTTACGTTATGCTAAATGCAACGTACAAACCCACTCCAGCATATGCTTCTTGCTTGAGTACAACCTTTAGAGCTTGTGGATGTAACAAATACCCAAATACAATCAATTTTTTTAAAAAAAATTTGCATTAAAAATGTTTTAGTGTCACAATTCTTTGACATCCAAGAGCATTGATTAACAGATAACTTTAAGACTGTATTTAAAAATTCGAAAAATAATTTTTGGGGTTTCTAGTGTTTGGCAGAAGTGGGAATGATGATTAACCATTGCTCTTTTTAAATTTTTTTTTTTTATAAATAATATTAATTGTTTTAATATAATTCTGCCCATTTTTTGAAAAATGATCTAAACACACTAAGACAGTTTTTTGAAATGCAACTAAACACCGAAAATAAAAATATTTTATGTAAAGTTACTCATTTTCCGAAAAACATTTTCCATAAGTTATTTTTCAGATTTTCAAACACACCCTAAGAGTGCTTATTAAGATCATAAAACAAGTTTCACTCAAAACGTACCTTCAATGTGAGCTTTCCCATAACTCAAAGATGACTTTATGAGCTATTGAGCGTTGATTGAATTAGCTATTACCCTACTCCTAAGAGGAAGTTTTAGGGTTTGTTGAGCAAAGCAAAGCATTTGGCCACCATGGAAGATGGTGGAAGAGCTCAAGAGCATAGCTCACCACTTTGCGGAGGCCATCTTTTAGAACTCTGCGAGCAATCATCATTTAATTTGTAATTCTAAACAATTAAAGTCTTTCTTTACAAGGTCAATGATCCAAAATCATCAAAATTGTTACATTGTGAGAAGAGAGACCAAACTGCCACCTTATGACAAATAAGAGGGTCAATAATATGTCAACAATGGAAGGACTGAAAGCACAATTTTATATAAATACACAAATGAAAAATGCTATTATCCCTTCTAGTTATTATAGGAATACAGGGATTTAGTACTTGTCATTGGGTCGGGTTCGGTTAACGAGACTTGACTGGGGTTATTTATAATTTAATATTTCATAATATTAAGTTTAGAATTAGTATGTAAACTTTATATATTTAGAAACTACATTAAAAGTACTATTAAACACAAAAAATTATAAGTAAATGCTAATAGAAACAAGCAAAGAAGAAAAAGTTGGTTTGATCAATGAATAGTAAGTAGGACATATAAAATGAGACAGATGGAGTATATTGTAATGATTCCTAGTCGAACAAAATACTATACTGTAACATCATAGTGAGAAGAAAAAGAATATAAGCAATAGGCAAGAAGCTAGAAGAGTTGGGCATTGTTTAATCGAACCAAACCTTTATGTTCAACTTCAGCTTTGCAGGGATCATATAACCAGTGGCACCATCTGCTGATTCAATCCACAATGCACTTGTCTTCAAATGCTTTGCAGTTTGGTATACCCTCGACGACCATCAAAGCTTCGTTCGTTAAGCATTCAAATGGGAATACCAGTACACTGCATCTTCGCCTCGGGAAAATTTGCCAATGTGCAGCTAGTTCAAGTGTGATATGAGAAAGGTCAAAGCGCCTAATACTGGAAACACTACTAGAGCTGAAGCCTGCAGATTGCAGATGAATTGGGTAAGAGGACACTAGTACATCAAAGATCTGAAATGAGTTCATTTCACTTTGTCCCGTGAAGTGACAATATCTATTTCAGTTCTAACTTTAGTTTTTATATGCCGGGAGCAAAATAAATAACTAGTTAGATTATGGCTATTTGTGGATTTTATTTATTTATTTGAAGGCACACTGGGGCAAGGTGAAACTAACCAGCCTGAAATTGATCAAATAACTTACCACCAAGAATACTAATTCATCATTAGCAAGCACTGTCGGGAAATCATACTGTTCCACAGCCTGCTTCAGAAAGCCTTGCAACTGCAATAGAAAATGACGAAACATTAAATGCATCCCTGGGCTGACTTTGCCTCTAAGTTCTAAATGTTCAAATTGGAAACCTCTTCCCAAAAGGTTCAATTGAAAATCTAAAATAAAATTTAAGCTCATAAAAAAGTAAGCCTAATTTCTTGACATAGAGATGAATAGATGATATATTAGTCCAGGATTTTGTCAATTAATATGCTTTGAAGGGACAATTGGTTACCTGATGATGATGAAGTTTTATGGCTGCAAAGGTTTTTTCGAACTGATGCAAAGCTTTTGACATGTAGGAATTCTGGTCAGACGTACTGTTGGACCTCAGAAGACCCTTCAACATCTCAATATGGTGGCTGGAAAGATTTTTGATAGACTATAAAGCATACAAAGTGTTACTACTGCTATGGTTGAAGAACAATGTTTAAGAAATATATGCAGTAACCTTAGGAATTTCTACTCAATCATTCAAAATGGTTTGTACAAGCAATGTCAGAGAGCAGTTGCACAGGCATATTTGGACTACCTTCACAAATGGACATCTGCCATATCTTAGTTGTGATTTCACCTTCAATACTCTAATCTGAAATGCAAAATTCATTCGGGACCTTCTGCAATGTTAGTTTAGTTTCTAATTGGTAAATATGAAGCAAAAGTACTACACAAGAACATACCTCTGCCAATTGAGCAGCCTGCTCAAGTTGCTGTACTTGAATCCACTGTTCATTTACAATTGCAGCTGCCTGTAAACACGAGTGAGTAGTGTCAGAATATTGAAGATGTTATATGCTGATAAGATGAACCAATATTCCATTCCTTCAAATCCATTACTGGCAATGGCACAATTAACATAACAGGGAAAAAAAAAAACACCTTCCACCCAAATCTCAGTACTTTTATTTTTTTTCATGGGCAGATCCAGCCTTCATAACACAAAATTTTTTATATATAATGAAGAGATGAATTCCTTTCTTTGCAGATGAAATTGTCCCTTCACCATGAATGCTTCATCACCCCCTATGTCCAATCTATTACTACGTACTTGTGTCAAGTAGAAGATCTACTATTCAAATTGAAAATCAAACTGACACTAGTTTACATGCAAATTTATAAATATATTAATTTGTGGGACCTATTTTAGTGACAATAAAAAACATAAATTTACAATTGTAACAGTAGATACTCCATTTTTCTAATGAATCCAAGCAAAATTATAATAATTTCCTTAAAAGATGTTTGTTTACTCATGATAGCACAAAATCAACCTTCTCAACTTTGGAAGCAACATCTTTTAACCTTTCCTCAGATTCTTGTGCATCGAGTGTTAGTTTATGAATTTCAAAGTTGTTCTCTCTTGATGTAGCCCAGAGCAATTGAACCTACACAATCCCAAAACTCCCTGAGCAAAAATTGGAATTTTTACTTTTTGAAAAAAGCAAGCACAGTTAAAGCAACCACACCTCCTCTTCTAGAAGAGTAAGCCTTTGATTCTCATTTGATTCTTGGTCCTGTCAAGTCAGAATGGATTTTGCATAATCTAACTTCTAGCATGTTACATTGATATGAAAGACAAATGAAATAAATGAATTAAACACATGATTTCTATGTCAAATCACGGCTATCTACATTCAGTATTGTAAAAGAAATATAATGATAACAAGATCATGACATGGAAACATGAATGTATATTACAGATTGAAAAAATCCAGCTTCTACACAAATGAAGCTCAAAAGTATATACCTCCCAGAAAAATGTGCATCCAAGCCTCAAAGATAGAACACTACCTTAAAGCTTGACAAAGCAGTTTTTAGGCGGTCGATGTCAAAGCTAATTTCTTCAAGTTTCTTCTCGATTCCCTCTATGTATTGGCATTTAGCATTTAAACTGTCGTCGTATTCCTCCAATGTGGATTCTAAATTCACAATGGCACAAAACAATTATCAAACAAAGCAGAAATACAAATTATTCTTTCTCCATAAACACACAACACATCTAATCTATTTCACACATTTTTCCTAAAAATAACAGCTCTTTTTTTTATTTTTTGGTATAGCCCATGTTTCCACTGTCCGACACAGACTAATCCCCTCGCTGAATTGTAGGCACCTCTATTGGGTGGGACAGGTGACATGGACCTGGAGATTTAAGGCTTCTCTATACCCAAAGCCAATGATCGAACCACTGACCTTTGGTTAAGAATGGATGAGTCAGTTCCACTCAATCACAAACTAGGTTTAAAAATAACAGCTCTAGATTGCATTTAAATTATTAAATCCAAGCATAAAATGCGATCTTCTCATTTTTACCAGCTATAGTATAATTAAACTACACCTAATAATAATAATAATTCAGCAGATAGTACTACAAGCAAAAGTTTCCAGTTTAACGAGATAGAAAAAATTATAATTTCATTACGGATTAGCATTTAGAGTTAGATTTTAAAATGATGATTTGGTGAGTGCGAATGGAGGAAGTAAGAAAAATGACCTAAACGGGAGAGTTTGAGCTTGGCATCTTGCAGTTGGGTACGGAGAGAGATGTGGATCGGCGTCTGAGAGTCTCCGAGGACAGCGTTGGAGTGGAGGGCGCAGAAGAGAGCTGTAAAAATGGTGGGAACCAAAATTAACGAGATTGCCATTTCCAAGCCTTTCTTCTCTCAACCCTTCAGCACTGGACTTCCATTTTCACTTTTCAGCTGCCCTTCCACTTTCAAATTGCATTTGCATTTATTTGTTAGATTTGGTCTAAATTTTTGCAATTTTTCTAGTTTGTTAAAACTTAAACCGGACAATTTGGAGAGTTAGGGTGTATTTAGGAAAATGAAATTATTTTTTAGGTTTTTAATGTTTGAATGTATTTAAAAATTCAGTCAACGGAAAACATTCGGAACATTTATAAATTTGGTTTCTGGCGGAAACTGAGTAGAGCACTGCTTTGTTCTGGTTTTCGCCGAAAATCAGGGGGTGAGTTTCTTTTAAAAAAATTAACAAATAATATTATTTTTAATTTTTAATATTATTATAAATATTTTTATATTTTAAATAAAATACTTAAAATGTTTAATTATACAATTTTACTTATTTTTCAAAAAAAAAAAAAAAAAAAAAAAAAAAAAAAAAAAAAAAAAACCAAACATATCAAGACAATTTTTCATAATGCAAACATACACTATAAAGGAAAATGTTTTCTGGAAAATGACTCGAAAACATTTTTTCGAATTCATTTTCATGCTTTCTAAATGGACCCCTTATTAGTAAATTTATGTGTTTTTTTAATAAGGTATTCGATATTTTTAATACTATAAATTTTAATTAGAGTGTGTTTAGTTCGCACAAGGGAAATAGGGAACCATAAATCAAAATGAGAATCAAATACTACCTTTCAAAATTCCCTAAATTCATTAAATCAAGCGCAAGATGTTATAGATTTCATTTGATTCTCTTCGGTAACACTTGGCTATTTTTCATTGTTGTTTGGTTAGATGGAAAAAGCAATTTTTTAAAGTAGAGTAAAACAAATTCTTAACAAGAGGATGATATTTGTTTTTCATATGACATAGAAAATAAAAATAACATGATCGAACAATTATACCCTCATACAAGTTTCTTAAGTACAAGTATTTATGCTTAATTTATTATCATCATTATTATTATTAGGAGCATATTGGTCATTATTATTTAGTATTTCACATTCGCTCCATATGAACAAAAGAGTTTTTGCTACCACTTCTAAGTCTGAGTCTAATTCCATAATGTCGAACTTAGTCGTATCCTATTGTTGCCAAATTAAACAGCACAGAAGGATTTCCTATGAATTAATTAACTTTGCATTTCACAATAATTGTATTCCTGCAATAAAATTATTAAAGAAAATATATTGTATCTAATAATTTTATTACATCAGGAAAGTAGGTGCAACAGGATGATTTACTTATTTACTCAATAAAGTGGCATTCTCTGTACTGTTTTCTCATCTCTCCATAGATGAGAAGACTTTATTGTTGTTGCAGTCTCTACTCTGGTTGTTCCATCTCTCTCCCTGTGCCCTGTTATGTACAGCACTTGAGAGAAGTTTATTCCTTGTTTTCTGCAAAAAAATAAATCATTAAAATGGGCATTTGCAAGGTTTGATTCCCCATGTCTGCTCTGCATATTCTCTTATGTTTATATCACTGCTGAATTTGCCAGATCCAGCAGTGCTCAGAATGCTCATTCTTGTCCACCTCTCCTCGTCGACAAACGCGCTGTCAGCTGCAGCCTGATAGCCATACACTCTGGTTAGTTTACAGCTCCTTTGACTTTTGTGGCATTTCCATAGTCCTCAACTATCATCATATTTTTCACTATTAATCCCTTTATACTTTGAATTTCATAGCACTTTTAATCGTTTCACGAGTTTTCCGGCCAAAGAATTAACTGTTTTCTGGTTAATTTTCAAATGATGTTTGGCTGGAAAACTTGCCAGAAGAACTAAAAGTGGTAAGAAATTCAAAGTCGAATGGCTAATAGTAGAGAACTTATGAAAATGTCACAAAAGTTGAGTGATCAAAAGTGAAAAAAAAAAAAAAAAACTCCTTTACAGCTTCAACTATTTCATCACTGTAGTTGTGCACATAGTTAGCCATATAGGATGTTACCTGTGCTTCTAAATAGCTGGAGAAATCATAACCATGAAGATAATGATCTCTCTCCAATGTGTCACATAATGACTTCAAGTAGTCCTTATAGCCAAAATAACCATCTCGAACCATCCTACACATATTGGAATGAATTTATGAACAGATTGCAGTTGTTACTCGGAGGTTAGAGTGCCAATATAGCAGAATGTATTGACAGGAAGTTAGCATGGGGCAGGTCGTTAACAGACTAGAAGGTGCATTTGGGTTATGCATACCTTACAACCCGTGCAAATTGAAGTGGTGCTTTGAGGGTAGCTCCTTTTTCTCGCAATGCTGCGACCTCGTCTGCTTTTGCACCAAATAGAAACTGACCACCGACAAAGAAGAAAGATAAGTGTGTACTTTATTTCTAGTAAATGGCATGGAGATGAAGGAAGAATTCCACACAGAAACTTTTTTTTGAGTACTACTGACTCTGTTACACTGTAGTAAATGTTCATAACTACTTTCTCAACCTACTGAAGCACATAGAGTCAATACCGCCCCCAGTGGGGATCGAACCCATGACCTCCCATTTGGGAGAGCTACTTCGTGCCACACAGAAAATATAAACATGGAACAAACCTAAAAATTTGTGTTTTGGCACTGCTATGGCAAATGTAAGAATATTGATTTAATAGTGTATATTGTTCTTCCTACACATAAATGGATGCATTCTATGCCACATTTTAGAAGATTTACAAGAATGTGCATTAGTGCCATACTAACCATGCTATTAACGGAAATTGGAGGCATGCATACATCATTAGACTCGAGAAAAACAGATGAAAAATGGTATTTCTATAATAGTTACCATGTTATCTGCTCCTATTTCTTGGGCAATTTCGATTGTTGAGCCATCTGCAGTAGCTAACAATAAACATCCGTTCATTAAAAATTTCATACTGCCAGTTCCAGATGCCTCATGTCCAGCAGTGCTGCACAAGATTCATGTTTTTAGACATGAGCAATTACCAGTGGAAGAAAGAAACTTGTATGGTATAATGAATGTAAGAGTCCATGTAAATTCCAAACATCTAGGTAGCCATTTATATCAATTGCAACTTGCAGTAGTGGAAAAAAGAAATAAAACAAGAAGATAAAAAGCCACTTAGATATTTGACAATTGAACAATAAAAATATACAAAATCTAACTTATTTCTCAGAAGGTCTGAGGCCTTATGGGCTGAAAAATGAAATAAATGAGAAGAAATAGATCCCAGGCTGGTTTTCAACTTGTGTACATGAAACACCAACCTTATGTGCTGTGAAAGGTCACTGCCAGGAATTATCAACTCAGCAACACTAACATTGTAATCAGGGATAAAAACCTATAACAATAGAATATATGTCAAACAACATCTAGGCATAGAGAGATGTTTAGAACACCAAAACAATCCTTACCAGTTTCAGGAGGTCTCCAACATCATAGTCATTGTTAATTATATCTGCCACTGCATGACAAAGTTTGATAATCTTCTTAGCAATTTCATAACCAGGGGCAGCTTTCCCTCCAATTATGCATACACGAGGTACAACTCTTCGTCTCTCACTCTTATCCATATTCTTCAAATAGTAAAGTCAGAAAGAAATAAATCAAGAACCAACCATGAAATGTAATTGAAAGTATACTTATACTTATTTGGGGGATGGAATTAGGATGCCTAGGGAGGAGGGTAAACTAAAATAAGGGTTCACTTTGATAAAATGTGACAAAAAGGGATTTGATACCTTAATACAGTCATATCTGTGTATGATGCCTAGTATATTCATCAGTTGTCTCTTGTATTCATGTATTCGTTTTATCTGAACGTCAAACATTGCCTCTAAACTGACCTGCAACACGTAAACAGATTGAAGAGTTAAAAGGAAGATACCACAAGACTGACGCACAAAATTCATGAGTATTTACAGAGTAAAAGTTAAGAGATAGAGTAAGTTTCCAGACCTTCACTCCACTAATTGTTTCAATGTATTCAGCAAGCCTCATCTTGTTAACCTTCTTCATCTACAAATCAACGACAAGTACTTAACCTAGATTATAAGGATAGCAATAAGTAATAACTGCTCTGGAGACACAAACATAAAGCAGCATTTTCTTGTACCATCTTCCATTCTTTATGCAGAGCAGGATCTGAAACATAATCTCGTAAGCCTGAGATGAGGTCAATATTACGGATCCAAGCTTCTGTTCCAAGCCATTTTGAAATAATTGAAGACAAACTTGGATTGCTCACTACAATCCAGCGGCGCTGACAAATAACAACTTACAAGTGTGATTTTTTTATTTTGGTTTAAATAAGTGTAATAAGATTCCAAACATATTAATTAAATCTTTGACTACATCCAACAAACTTCAAGGAATCAAAGAAACAATTTATGTTAAATAGAGTAAACAAAAGAACTTAGAAACCAGAAAATTGAAATATAAGCAAACATGTGCATTCTACAGCACAACATTAATCAAGATATTGTAAACAGTAAATACTAGCTTGAAAAATACTAAAAGAACTGCCAACTCCAAAACCAGGGACAGCAGAAACTTTATATGTTTTTTGTTTTTTTTTAAATTCACAGCGTAGAAACTGAAATTTTGAAAAGAACATGAGTATTCTACTATTCTCAAAAACTCCTAAGAAAGGTTTGTTTGCTTTCAAAAATCCAATCTCTTAAATATTACTTCAGTAAGCACTCTTGTTCTTAGGTATGTAAATTTTGAAGTCAATAAACTCAGCAATCAAATAACATGAACATTCACCTGAGTAACTCCATTTGTCTTGTATTGAAATTTTTTAGGCCACAACTCATAGAAGTCCTGTTGGAGAAACCATATATTAATAAAAGGTGCCTTGATTAGGATTTAGGAAAATTCACTTTCTAAGCAAACAAAGTGTTATACTCACTATATATATATATATATATATATATATATATATATATATATATATATATATATATAAGAACAGACAAACAGTAAACAGAACACAGAATAATAAATAAATAAATAAATAAATACATAATACCAAGAAGATGGAAATGAAACATCATTAGTGTAGGCTGATGCACACTTTGATGCCTTA